TACAATGTGTCCTTGCATTCAGTTGTTTTAGTATGTTCAGCTGAATTGTTCACTTATACACCCAAATCCAACAGCTCTAGCTCTTCTAATGTACTTCATTTATTGCAGGGATATGCAACACCATCCCTACGGTCAACATCTGTTGTCATAGCAGATAGTGCTAGTGGAGATATTCTCTCCATAGCTCAAATGAGACTTGTTGTCCTAGTAAGTGTAAAGGACTGTAGAAGGAAGAATGAGCAAATAACTAGCCGTGCTCGCAATGAGATGATCAAGTCATCTTTAGTAATACTACAAGCAACTATTGAGAGGAATGCACCCTCCCAAAGTGAATTTGAACTGTGTACACAGAAAATCGTGTCATTGGCGCCTGAGATGAAGGATCCTATTCCTTCAATTCTTCAAGACACTTTCAAGCAATGGGTAAGCATATTTTTAGAAGGTACAATGTGCGCATGTCATGTTATCTATACTACCGCATTAAATTCAAGGTGTAGAAAAATCTACAACAAAAATATTTATTATCCTAAAGGGTTGTTTCTTCATATACTACCTGTGATACATTTTAGTAAGGAAATCATTTTCATTTAAATATCATCCAGAGTACGACCCTAATGCAGCTAAAGAGGGCTTACTACTGTAGAAGATGACAGTCTGCAATTATTCATTATCATAGATAATGAAGTCTTCCTCGAGACAAATAGTATCTTGAATGGGGTTTTTTGTGTAGTTGGAGCCCAACTTGTTTTTAATTTAGAGTATGGACACAAACTAAAGCTGTGTTTTAAATTCTTAGAGGAGTTTATCTTTGGCTTACCTCAGAAAAAGAGGACAAAGCAGTACCAAAATGGTATAGCTAAGCTTCTTTCTTAGAAAGTTAGCTGATTTTATCGAGGGCTTAGGGCAAATGTTAGATTTTCAGTTGCTTGTATTAGCATCATAGCATACCTTGAAATAATTAAGGAAAAAATATCTCCAATCTTTCTTGAGATTTCTAGCTATATATGTTCATTGATAATTTGATTTTTACATTATGAATATATAAATTAATTTAATTCTATATATAGTGATCATATGTTAAAAAATAAAACCAAACAAAATGGCATATGATTTGGGAATCACATGTTACTAAGATACAAAGAATGAGATAATTAAACATAAGTGAAAATTGTTGGTGCAGTGAATCGTGATGTAATTGTTACATTCATGATAATTTGATGAATATACATCATATATGCATGAATATGTAAATTAATCATAAATTATATTGATCAGTTGTTGAAAAATATAATGAAACCAAATAAAAATGAGGTTCTTTTCATGTTATTTCTGTGTTAAACGAAGAACAACCCTTTTGATGATTCAACAAAGCTTATTTGAAGAATGAAATTCTGTTTAATAGCATATTGATCAGTCTTCAGAAGAGCAAGAATCCTTTAAAATATGAGTCTTCACAAAAGCAAAGTCAGTCTCTGGAGAAGAACAAGAGTCTTAATGATCAATTTATAAAAGAAATATTCATTCTTGGATGAAAGACAAAAATTCTACCGAGAAGACTCAGAAAACTGAGTTTCTTCTTCTCCAACAATAGGCTCTTCAGGGAAGAACAATAATTGTTCTCATAAGCAGGCTTAAAATATGGGATATCTTAGGAGGAGAGTAGTGTTTCTTCTCAGAAGAGTACATTATTGACTGGTTCTTTTCAAAAGAATCACACTTCTTTTGGTTATTCTTCTAACAAGAATCAGACAAATCAGTTTCTTGTCAAAATAATTTAGTTTTCTTTTAATATTCTTCTAACAAGAATCAGGCAAAATCAGATTCTTCGCATAAGAATTTTTAACCTTAGGAGAAGACCCATAGTTCTTTCCACAAGAACCAGATGTCTTCTCCTTAAAACCATAATTCTCCTCTGGGGACGAGGAATCTGAACTTATAAATTCTTCTCTGAATAGACATGAATCTTGCAAAAAAAATTAAATTTCTGTTCAAAAGAATTGAACTTTAGATTGATTTAGAGTGATAATTTTGTGACGACTTACCACTATTTCAAAGGTGTCCTCTTATAATAAAATAAGGTGGGATTTCGTGATGAAGCTTCCTGTCGAAGGCATGTAGAGGGGATTGTTGACTGTCTTCGTTAAATGATTTGTATGTAAAATGTAAAATGGAAACGACGCGAAGCGGAGTGGTTTCAGCTTATCTCGTGTTCTCCCAACCTCCCGCGTGTTTACATCAGGCTATGTAAACACGGAAACCATTTTACATTTCTTTTATAAAATAACTAATGAAAGAGGAACGAAAACCGTGTTTACGTACGCTCATGTAAAATGGTTTTATGGCCAATCAGAGCGCGCGTACTATTTGAATTATTTTATTAAATATGTTGGGATCACTCATGTGGCATCTCACTACTGTGCATTGCTGGAAAGCTGTTTGCCCGAGTAGCATTATACCGCCCTCAAAAGATTGCTGAAAGGGTGTACCCTGAATTGGTTGGATTATCACAAATCAAGATATGCTCGCCACTGGCCTGCCAACAGATACAGGGAGCTACATGCTGCAGATCGGAGTGATTGGAGGTCTGTGTGCAGTCTGGCTCTCCAAGCGGGAGAGGAAAGGCTGAAAGCTGAAGCTGATGAAAGAAGAGCTAAGGGAAGAGCAGCAAAGAACAAAGCAACATGTGTTCCAGTGGCATGTGTCTTTGTGTGCAGTGGATGCGGCCGTGTCTGCCGTTCTAGAATTAGGCTTTTTAGTCACGAGAGAAAGTGTTTGTCGCAATTGCGCGAGTCATGGACATGGTCCGACGACTGCCTAGAACATCTTCCATATGAGATGTCTTCGTCGCATCCTACTCAAGGTTTCTGGTAAACCAGATCAAAAGCTCTCGATATTAAACGACCACGATATCTCGTTTTGCCGCTCTACAACATACGAGGCTTGATTTTTTCAATATCGACAGACAGCTATTTTGACAGGACACTTGACATGGCCAGACAAGTGTTGACATAAATAACAGCAGTGAACGATACATGGGATTTTTCCGGAAACTCTTAATTTGTATATACAAGGGGTTTTTCCCTTTTCCTTATCTTTTAGATCTAGCCTCAGGTGCGGTCACGCTTTTATTGTTAAAAATTGTGTAGCAATGAGTATTCGATAGTTAAAGTTGCGATTTTATTCTAGGTTTTTTTTACGGCTGGAGCATCAATAATTTCATGTCATTGTCCGCAGTGATACGATTTACGCGGGTTTCTTTCTCCGTTTGGTGACTCCACAATTGCATTCTGCCAAAAATGTCCAGCTGAAGTTTCTAGCTTCGCTCTGACAAAGGACTAACGCTCGAAACGGCAGCTTTATATTCTCACTAAAGTGGCCAATTCACATCAATTCAGTTGAAAAACCCAATTTGTTGAGTTAAGAGTTGAGCTAATTGTAGTTGTGTCAAAATTGTAAGCTAAGTTTTCCAACTTCATATCGGTCGAGAGTTTTATTTGTAGTACCACAAAGACACGTATATAAACTGTTACAGCACATAAGCAGTAAACAGCGTAAACCATTCGCTCGAAGTCTGAAAAGTTGCTTGGTAATTTTGTGACGTCGAACAACATTTTAAGAGGTGTTCTCTCAGTAAAATAAGGTGGGGTTTCCTGCCTTCCCATTTCCGAAGATTAACCACCCAACGGGCTTCGAACATGATTTACGATACAGCGAAGCGAAACAAACTTGTTCGCATGGCTATTAATTTGATGTCAGGGCACATACCGACTGAATTTATCCACTTTTTTTCTGGAGGGTGTAATTTGTGATAAGCTTTAGCTCTTGCTTCTAATTAGAAATCGAAAGTCACGCGGGAAAATAACGATAACACCAAAAAAAGTTGAAATTTTCTCTGTGAGATTTTCATGATGTTTGGCTTCGAATTTTTACTACATAAGTTAAATCGCGCTCAATACCTCGGTGATCTAATTTAGGAGACTGATCTAAAGAGTAAGAGACTACCAAATATTTCATATCAAGCGGAAGCATTTGGTATATCTTCTCGAGGAGTCTAAATTTCTGTGGTGCCTTCGTACAGCGAGCGGCAGTTCGGTAGTATGTTTTACGACAAATACAAAATTTTAACGCGCAACCAACAGCACATGAATGATACACGATTAACTCTCGGTAGAAATCCTGTTTGTTCGTCATGAGTGGAAATCCTTCAGGCGAGCCAAACTACAATGATTGCATCTCGAGATCGATACCTGACTACAAAGGCATTGAGCTCACAAAATAATAAAAAGACAAAACTATTTAGTACAGCCTTAATTAAGTATGCGGAGGTAGGAAGGAGAGTTTTGATGAGCTGATGTACTCACAGAAAAAAGTCTGAATTTTCTAGCACAAAACGAAAGAGACATAAAAATATAAATTCCAGCATTTTATTGTATGAAAAAATGAAGGAAATGCTTGCTAGTACACAGATGGCCTAAGCTCACGTCTGGAGAAAAAGCCAAGATTAATTTATAAACCGTCACGCGTTTGTGTGATTCGGTGTAAAAAGTTACGGGAGGAACCGTTTAGGAACGAAATATGGTCAATTTACAACGATAAATATTTCGAAATATTAACATTTTACTCGTGAAATCAGTAAAACTTACTTACATCCTGTGTGTCCGTCGTAGCTTCTGGCGATTTCTGCCGTTTAAGCTTGCTAAATAACAAACTGATTTTGGGGACGTGTTTTTCTTTCTAAAGTCACATCCCACATGACGCCCTCGTGGTTCTTGTACTTCTCGGAAAATCACATCACGTGCTCTAAAGTTGGCTCGACCTTGAATGGTATTAACATTTGCTATGATTGGCCATTGCAGTGGTGTGGTTTACTTTCTTCCTCTTTCACTAAGGTACGTGTTCTAGCATTGGCAAATCACTGTTTGCCACGTCAAAGAGAGCTGATGACCTTTGGGTTTTATTAAGGTAATATTCACGATCCTTAGATCACTTTTGTGAAGATGGTGGAAGGTGAGGTTGTCTTATGCAAGTGAATTTCTCATGAAAAAGACAGACTGTGGACTTTTATTACCATAGCGTAACGTTCTTTAACCGTTTTCCCACGATGGCGGCCAAAGTACGAAACGAGTGTGGAAGGAAAGGTACGAAGATAGCCTATTGAAGTACTCTGCTTCAGTTTTTGTTTCATGATTGCGTTCCTCAATGATTGACATAGATTCCGCCGCTATGTCACGGAAAGTTTCGTTACATAATATGACAATTAATTATATGCAAAGCACATCATTAACTGGAGAGTTTTGGCGGGAAATCGTAGCCGTGACTCTAGTTCTCGGAAAATTACATCAAGCGTTCTAAATTTGGTTTGACCTCGAGTGGTGGCGTAGTTTTCTTTGATGTAAGGAGCATACTCAACGTCGGCAAATCACTTTTCGCCAAGTCAAAAATTATGTGACGACCTCTGGGCTATATAAAGCAATGCTCACAATGCACAAATCATTTTTGTGGAGATGGTGGTTAGTTTCTCTTTTGCAAAGTGCTCTTTTAGTGAGATGCCGACTGTAGACTTCCGTTTTCAAGGCTTAACGTTCTTTAACGGGCTTATATCGTTTCTTCAAAATGGAGGCGTACGAAATAATAGGTATGTATTTTAGTGAGATGGACATGTCACCTTCTGAACTCGAATAGCGACGCGAAACGTAAATGTTATTGAGAGGAATGCGTGACAAACCAAATATCACCAAAATAGCTTTGCATGGTTAGAATAACGCAAGGATCCCTAGGAGGTCACGCGTCTCAAATAGCGCTCAAGATTTGGCCTTGCAGTGTGGAGCACTCAAGTCGATCGGTTGGCAAAATATGGCTTTCAACGCGCCTCACGCGCTGGCAACGGAAGAAGCTCGAGGACCCCAAGTTGTGGATCGTGCTACGTTTTTTTACTATGAGCGGAAGGGCGGCGAGTATTTCATGCAGGTTTAAGTTTTGATCGAATTTTTTGGGGGGTTTACGATTATATTTTGTAAGGTTTTGCGATTTCTAATAGACCCCAATGCGCCCCCCACCCCCTCCCCTCAAGTATGCATTGACAGAATGACTGGCTTCTTCGCCCTGCTTCTCCATTTTAACTGTTTCCAAAACTCACCCACTCATTCATATCCTGCTTGTTCAGCCACAGGCGTCCCAGGCTCACGTCTCGAGAAAAAGTAAAAGATTAATTCGTGAACGCGTCACGCGCTGCGTGACGAGGTGTAAAGTTACGCGAGGAGCCTTTGGGAATTTGAACGCGATATAACAAATAGTAGACCATAGTGTGGGGAAAGAAAAAAAACATGAATGTTTTATACTAAAGATTGATGAAACTTACTCATTCTTTGAGTGTCCGTTGTGGTTTCTGGTGTTCTCTGCCCGCGTTTTAGACTTGCTTTGCTATCACTGTTATTCCTGTTATAAGACAGAATTAAGGCTACACACTACGATATTCGACCGTAGTCCAAGCGGAGGCAGTTACCACCCACGTCGCTTACCTTGATATACGTCTAACGCTACATATACGGTCGAGAGAAAATTTACCTAGGACCCAAGCTTCTTCCGCGGCCGTGTCCGATCTTGACATCAAAAGCAGAGGTAGAAGGAAGCGAACTTGGAAACGCTGGTGGAAAACGCTCGTTTTCAGTGTAATGCGTAAGGAGTTTTGGAATAGAGGCATTTTCCAGGTTGGGATGATCTTAAATCGTGAACTTTGGATGAAAAATTGCCAATCGGAATGACAACGGTCGAAATTCTCAACGGTTCCTCGCGTAACTTACCACCGCGTCATACAAAATGTGATGCTGTTACGAATTAATCTTTTCCTTTTCCTCGAGACGTGAACTTGGGACGCTTGCGATTTGGCGTAAGAGGCTGACTACGCTTCTTTCATTCCTCCTGATACCACTGAGACAATCAATTGACAAGGTCATAGTCATCCAGGGCTTAGGGGCCGACTATGTTCCTCCCTCACTGCTTGCTAACCCCAAGTAGTCAATTGACAAAACGAGTGGTCTATGCGTCAGAGTGCTCCGTGTGTGCAGCTACCTATAAACTTCGCGAGTAGAAGTGGCAACGACATGACTTTGGAACAGTTGAGAAATTCATTGTCTCTTCAGCCGAATTTTATCAGAATTGTCCCTAAATGAGGTCTGACTATCGACGTTCTTCACTCGTTCTATGCTCCTTTGTCATTGCTCAGCCATGTCCATCTCATTGAAATTTATGGTGAGGCCCTTCTTCTGAGAGAAAAGTGAATGCCCTCCTTGTGGCGGTGTTCCGAGTTTCGATCACATATCTCTCTTACTGCCTGTTACTGGCCGAATTTAATTTCCTTGACCTGCTATAACTACCTCAATTTTAATTTCAGTCACTCAAGCCTTAGGGAATCACCTACATTCTCTCTCTCAATATTTTAAAATTATTTAAAGAAATGACTAGGCGTATCGCTGTACACCCTCTACTCTAAGGCGTCCCTTTTTTATTTATACTTCCAGTCACACAGATTGTGCATCTTGCTGAAGAGGTTGTCCACCTTCTTGAAGATGGTTTGTTGTCAGAGGTTCAATACGAACTCGCACTCCCTGGACAAGCGAATGGAGAGGCCTTGGAAGAAAAAGGTTTGCTCATGATCTGTGAGATTATCATAGCTTATAATGTAGAGGGCAAAATAACGAAATTCTGATTGACTGAGACGGTGGGCATTTATCGTTAACTTTATTGATGATTACCCCGGATATAATTACTCGAAGTTGATTGATTCTTAGGTCTCTTGGCAACAGCGAAAAAATTGTATTGTTTCTGGTTGTTTTAGAAACGAAAGTGTCTCCTTTAGAAGCAGTGAATGATGTATTTATTGAAGAAACGAGACAAACCACCGAAAATGAACAGAATACTGAAAACCGTTTTCGTGAAGTAGGCAAATCAAGGAGAGCAGGAAAAAAATCTAGAGGTGTGCAACCGCGAAACTCTTGACAAAACACTGTTGAAATTTTATGCCGAGTTCAGAAAATGAAAAAGAGCTCACCACCTGAGATCTTTGTTCAGAAAAGATGATCAATATAGCGCTAGGAAAACTGTGGTGACGAAGCTGAAAAGTTCCGAAGTGCAAAAGTGCGGCACTCGCAGCGCACGAGCGATATCTTGGTTCACATTTGGATTATTATTGCTAAGGAAGGGACAATAAACTGCCCTCATTGTTTGGATGGGATGCAAGGCAGGCCTTGCCGAATCAGGCCCACACTTAGCCAGTGTGCTATTTTACCTTAAAGCTTTAACAAAGGTAAGTGGAAGGTGCAAAAACTTCTTACGAACTTCTACACGAACCCACGAATTGGAAATAAAAGGTTTTTGTTAAAATTTTGAACCTTTCGGGATGTTCCCAGTCATTTTCACATTATCACACAGATTAATGATCTCCTCGGCCTGTCAGGGAAAGAAGAAGAAATTTCGAGGAATTTTTGGCTCTACGTCTCACACTACAACAACAGGAAAGGTTGAGGTCACGCGAAACGACATGCCCCTTGAGGGAGCTGGTACAGAGTTGGCCAATCCCAGATTTCATTTGGATGCAATATTAGCAAAGTCTTTTAAAGCTTTGTATAAAAGTGATCAGGAGGCAAATAGGAAGCAATAACTTAACGACCTCATTTGTATCATCCCCCTGTGATTACTCAAGCCTTCTTGTACTATAACGAAATTCATAGAAACCAAACATGCTTTGTGTTTGGACAATCTCCTCTCTCTCCTAGTAGGCATGTAGTAGTGAATATTTCTCTACCATGATGAATTTAAGGGCTTCTTAGCTTTTTCATTCATGATTATGCCAAAAAGACCAAAGCCTACATGATCAAAATAATCTTTTATTAAATTTGGAAAATGTTATCCTTCCAATATGTCTGATTAAAGAGCAGATCACCTCAACATTTTAATTATGAGAACCTGAGAGATAGACAACAGTCACACCATGGAAGCTCAGTGACAGCCCTCAATAAATATTCAGAGGAAGGTCTTTTTCTTTTTGTAACTTTCTCAAAATTGGATGCAGTGAGTCTCAAATAAAAGTTTAATTGAAACACAACATAGTAGGAAAATTTTGACAAAACATCTTCAGTGAGTCAACGTCTGCTACTCGCAACCATGCGACCTTATATCTACCTTTGACTGCAGCTATATAGAAAGCGGTTGTCGTCTATTTGGACTTTGAGCATATCATTATTGACTCTTAATAAGGCGAAATCTTTTTGCTACATACTAAATCCTTTTAATTTAATAAATCTTTTTTTTTCGCTTTTATGGACCTCGACTTTGTCTCAATAAAAACGTGGAAAAAGAGATCGGCCAATATCCAGCCATGTTGACTTCAAACTTTATCAATAACACATATATACTTGTTGAGATTGTTCACCTACTACAGACCACGTGACCTGAGCGCAAATAAGGTCTATTGAGCCCTCGCGATCGTCCTTGCGTGACTTGGACAATTTAAGCACACATGATGTTAATCCCTAATTCTACTTGGCCCGATGCGATTGCCTCTATTAATTGTCTCTTCATCCAAATGTCTGTATTGTTTGATAAACTCTCTTTCTCTACATGTCGATATCAGCGGAGTTAATCCAGAGGGTCTTGATCACAGATATAGTAGGGGTGAACTATCTTCGACCTTCACTCATAAATAGCTTTAAAAAATTCCTTAGGTCAGGATATCAGGGCGTAAAATTTTTTTTTCTGACAGCCACTTGGCTTCTAATTTTTTCAAAGAGGTAGCCAATTCAAAAAACGTTGGTCGCCATTTTTAGAGACAAAAAAACCCTTTTTTACGCTATGAGAGTTCTAGATAAACCCTCCAAAATTAAGTTCAACAAAGTTCTACAAAGCGGACACTATGTTGGATGATATACAACCTTAAACTCACCTAAATCCAAGATGGCGTCTAGTTTTCGATCTAGACGCATGTGCTGCGTTTTGGAAACGAACTTTACGAGAAAGTTTGTCGCGGATTTATCTTTGCAAATCTTTTTCATTCACTATATCTCTAGGTATGGTTATGATGAAGCATTCTGGTCGCCAATTTGGTTACTACTTTTCAGGATTTGGTCGCCAAAGTGAAAATTTTGTCGCATTGGCGCCTGTGTTAGGCGCAATTTTACGCCCTGGATATCCTCCGCAATTCTCTCCCACTTGTCATTTCCGAATAGGCAGCTGTCTACTTAAATGTCATTTTATCGTCACTAGCAGCTTCGCCGTAGAGTAAAAGAGTTTATGATTTATATCTCAAAGAAATCATTGCTCATTCTGTAAAGATGTGTTTTCTTTATCTGATCTATAAACTAGCTTCACAGCTTTGCAAAGCCAAAAATGTCATCGCCATGTTACCATTCAGCGTGTGGAGAGAACTAATGATTAAGCTAGATCCATTGCGTCCATTGAAAGGTGATTTTCGTGACCTCGCCGACAAGATGGGCTTTGATGTGAAGAGAATTTTCAAGTTTCAGGCGATGCCTAGTCCAACGCAAGCAGTTCTGAAAGGCTGCATGAATTCAACCATAGATGACCTAATGGTTAAACTAGAAGAAATTGGAAGAGACGATGCAAAACGAGACGTTGAAAGGTGGATAAGGGCAAATTGCCAATGTGCAAGGTGCCACAATTAACTGGATCGATTTGTTTACTAAACTCTTTCTAGTATATTGTACTTAGTTTCATTACTCTTGCCTCGCATTATGTAACATATTTCTGTATGACAAAACCTCATCTTTGCCCCTTTTTTCAAAATATAGTTTCACTTCTTTCGTCTTCAGTTTCTTCATGGAACAGGGATATCAAAAACAAAAATCTCTGCAATTGAGGAAGTATCGATCTTCATGAGTTCGACTGTAACTCTCACTGTTATTCATTGACGCCGTGGATATGTTCTTAATGTTCGAAGAAGGCCTTCTAGTGAAGCTGGTTACACTAATGTCTACAAAAGGCCAAATATGAATGAATCACTTGATGGGATGATTTTTATCAAGATGAATCTTTTGGCGAAAAGACGAGGAGGATATTGACTTTCTACATAAAATGTCTTGTGTTTTCCTTTTCCCGAACATAACCCACCCTTCCCTCTCCCCCACCCCCTCAAAAGAAAAAGGAAAGAAAAAAATGCTTCGAACGTACTTTACGATACAGCAAAACCAAATAGATTTGTTCGCCTAAGAATATATTTGATTAAGGCATCTGCTGAATTCACGGTCTTCTGTGAGGAGAGCATAGGTAGAAGTGGTATTTTAAAAGCCCTTGCTTTTCTTATTTTATCAGCATGATGATGATAACAGAAGTTTAAATTTGCATTGCGAGATTTTCATCGTGGTTGACTTCGACTTTTTCGACAAACGATAGTGTTAGATACGATGGGGATCTGTTTTAAGAAGCTGATTCAAAGAGTATGAGATTGCGAAATATAGGGTAACCTGTGGAGGTATTGAAGTATCCCCTATTAGAATTTGAATTTCTATTTCCCTTTCGCCCTGTGATCGGCAGGATCGCAAATATGTTTTGAAAGTATTAGAAAACCACTTGCAACCCGCTCGGTTAAATTACATATGACTCAGAGGCCAACTACGTTCTTCCCTCACTGTGACAGAATGACTGGTTCTCCACCCTGCGTCTCCACGTTTACGACTTCCAAAACCCACCCACTCAATAATGTCCTTTCTTTTTGACTAATAGGCCGACCATGCTTCTTTTGTGGCTTCCTGTTACCACCGAGGTAGTCAATTGACATGGTCATAGTCATCCATGGCTTAGGGGCCGACTATGTTCCTCCCTCACTGCTTGCTAACCCCAAGTAGTCAATTGACTAAACGACTGGTCTGTGCGTCAGGCTGCTCCGTTTGTGTACAACTTCAAAAACAAGTCCTGACACTTCGCGGGGAGAAGTCGCGACGACAATTCGCCGCGTGCGACATGATAAAATTTGTGTCATTCCCTGTCTTTGAGACACAAGTTTACCATTCTGATCAGTCGCGTGAATTACAACTAGTTTGATTTGGGTTCATGCAACTGATTTCAGCGACGAGATTGTGTTGTTAAAGAAGGTAATCATACAAAATGTGACCAAAGTCTAAAGATGCAAATTGTCGTGATGGCTTTGATCCTGTTTTGGAGGTGATGCGGACCGAGCAACTTTTCGCGAAGACCAGTTCCTTCAACTTGTCTCCCTCAATGAGCCCTGGCTCTAGCTGACCAAGTTCTTCATTCGCACTCTATTCATATGCTGTAGATGTTCTTTACCCACCCATGTCCTTCTCATCATAATCAGCAAATTAAAGAAGCTCTTAATCTGAATTTAATACTAAATAGAGTGAGAGTTATTAAAACTTTCAGCTAGTATCAAAGATAAGCATTTATGCTCCTTATCGAGAGTGGTAATTAAAAAGGATTCCTATCGATCATTTAGGGTTCCACCATCACCCCACTCATGTCAGTCTGCAGCATTCAGTTACTCAAATAACTCCAAGATGGAAGAATAAACCAAGTTTATTCCTTTACGACTGGCACATAGCCAAGTGAACAAGTCGTCCATAATTTGCGATTTACGCCAACCTTGTTTTTCGGCCTGGTTCATATTTTAGGTGCCGAGTTCCCAAGCACATAGGTATCGACCATGTATTCTTCTTTACGCCTGGTACGGACCAAACGTGTTGCCTTGACTTATTATTAGAGTTCTTGTGATTTAGTCACGTAAAACTAAAGGAAGCATCGGTAGTCTGACTATGCACTCGGCTTCTTATCTCTCTCAGCTATTCTTTCATTTCCTCTAAAGAAACCTTAGCATCCGTCTTAGCTTCGCAGTTTATCGGCGAGAAGCTGTGAAAGCAATATCGACAGAAAGCTATTTTGAGAACACACTTTTTTTCATGGCCAATCAAGTGTAGACATGTTCACAATCCATGGGATTTTTTCCAGGAAACTCTCGATGTGTTAAAGTTTTCCCCTTTTCCTTTTCGTTTCGATTTTGTTATAGGTGCGGTCACGCTTTGGATGTTAAAAAGTGTGTAGCAATGAATATTGGATGGTTAAATTTGCGATTTTATTCTAGGTTTTATTTACGGCTGGAGCATCAATAATTTCTTTTGGTCTATTTTATCTATTGCTATGATTCCTTTGTTGTCATGAACTAACTTTTTGAAGGGTAATTAACTTGAAATACTCGACGAAGTCCCTCCAGATCTCGTCCAAACATCTCAAACGCAGCTTATATCGCCGTTCTTCTCTCTTTGTCTTTCAGCTTTAAGTTGGGAGCCCCGTTAGGCGCGCATGTCTCAGAAGGCTGTCAACCGCTGGTTCCAGGCCGTGACTCTCCTTCGCAACCCATCTCTTGTCAAGTTCCGCCGCCAAGGCCGCCATTTCACGGCGTCTGTTGTGACTCTTGGAAGCGTCAACTTTAATTTGACGTTCCAATGTAAAACTTTGAGACTAACTCAGCAGGAAGAATACTGTTCGCTCGATGTGGTTCTCTTTGCCGGAGATCTGCTATGGTTTGGGATGAAGATCACAAAATGTAGGGGGGGTTCCCTCATTAGTTACTACAGTATGATGCAGTCTGTATCTGGGTGTTGTTGTTGTTGTTGCTTTTTTTGTTGTTTTGTTTTTGTTGTTTCAGTTTGTTTGTTTGTTCGTTTTAGTCAAAATGTTACTCCTCTAATGGAAACTGCTCTAAATTCTGGGCTACGTTTTATTAAGCACGTAGATTGTGGTAGAGGAGTGAGCAAGGAAGCGCACTAAGTACTTATCGAAAAAACAAAAAAAAATGTGGATTTCTATTGCTGGCTTCGGAAATGGGAATTATGTTATCTGGAAAGCATGGAGAGGCAAATGATAGCATTAATGCAACTGAAGATTATTTTTTTGTAAATCTATTTCTCTGTAAAGGACAATGGATTCTATATATTAATTAATTTTCTTTGGTACATTTGACTTTGATGGTTTTTTTTAAAGATAATGTATCAAGTATTAGAAAGTAATCTATACAAAAAAAATAGGAAGCAGTTTACGTTTGGCCAAAAGCCAAGTATATACCTAGGAAGAAAAAAAGAAAAGAGAAAAAATAATAAATATTGCGGTTTGCCCAGGTGTTTTAAGCGAGTTTTTAATCATTATTATTATTATCATGATTATTATAATTATTATCGTCATTATCATGATTATGATTATTATTATCATGAGTATTACTATTATTATCATTATTATTACCATTATTATTTTTGTTATTATCATTATTATTATTATTGTTATTATCATTATTATTATTGTCATTATTATCATCATCATTTTTATCTTTACTATTATAATTATTATTATTATTGTTATCATTATAATTATTGTTATTATTATTATTCTCTGCTATTACAGAGCATTTAAAAAAGTTATGAAGTAAAAAGAAGTAAAACGTTGTTGCACGAGACAAAAAAATGTTGTCAAATGTTGAGGTCCGTGACCAGGCGAAAGATTTGGGAAGGGAGGTGTGAGTTAGGAATTGAGGAACACAGAACCAGCGGCAAGAGAGAATACGTAGTTGGCAGACAGTTGCGAGCATTTACCACACAGGTGTTTCGGCGAAGGCAAATATCGGAACGATTTCTTTCACACGTGCGAATTATTCATATTTCGATACAAGTCTTGATTCAGACATGGACTAAAAAAATAAACTAGGAACAAAGAAAATGAATTCTTGTCTTGCAGGCTACTTCGAAAGACTTTGCGCGAAGGCTTGACATACCGCAATTAACCAGACAAGAAGAGCTCAGAGCGGGCTTGCACGCTTTGATGCGCTTTCAAGGAAATATCGACAGCATTGTAATTACTCCTGCAAAGTCTTGTTTGCTGAACTATCTCCCATTTTCGAATCAATCAAAGAAAACTGAGTGTGTTTCAATTTCAGTCTCCCTTGTCTGACAGCTTGGTACAGTTAGCGAACTCCAACATCGTGAAGATGGACTATCGAATCACGACTTCGCCGCTTTCAGATTTATCTTTCGTAGTATGAGAGCAGTTCAAATCTTGCGCGCACTACGCAAGTCAGACAATGATTTGTGTGTTTGATAAGTAATGGTGATAGGATTGAGTAAAGTCCAGTTCGGTCTGTAATCATACGAGTGATAACAAAATCGGACGACCGCGAAGCGGGAGTCCCATATGTTTATCACGAGTATGATAACAGACTGTCCGATAAAAGAATTTGCAATTTGACTAAAAAAAGTGCGCAGAGAGAGGTTAAAAATATATCAAAAACGTTGAAAGTACGCGAATTTTTTGAAAATCGCAAAAATTTCAATTTTTGAAAGTCCCGCGAAAATAAGAAACCATTAGGTACGAGCAGTCATTCGTGCGACAAGAACACTGGAGAGCGGAACTGTGCGAAGCGCTGGAGGTGGCTACTTGCCGACCACCATCAGTTTTTTACTTTTTCGCTCGACGGACTATTGAATTAAGAATCCGCAGCTCTCAGGTTATTTATCTACCAAAGAAAGGAAGCATTCAAATGACGCACGTACTAAAATTCTTCGTGTGCGTAAAAAGGTGAATGATGTTATTTCTGCGGTATCCGGAACTGAAGCGGAGCGCATTTTAATTCAGTAGAGCCGTCTATCCAATTTACCCTTGAGCGTGAAAAGGATATACATTTGCCCTTTCTTGATTTAAATGTGTCGAGAGGGGTTCGTGAGAATTTAGAGACAAAAGTCTATCGTAAACTCACCCACACCGACAAATACCTCGCTTTCGATTCTCACCACCCTATTTGCCATAAAAAGTCTGTAGCCAAAACTTTACTCAGGAGGGCTGACTGTCTACCATCTTCACTCAATTCGAAGGCTGAGGAGAGGAAATATGTCTCTAGTGTCTTGAAGGCCAATGGCTTTACAAAAACTCTTCTCCGATCCGTAACTGCCAAAAACCAGTTACAACTAGTAGCACTCCTGATGAAAGGGAACCAGCGACTGGTTTTGCTGTTATTCCCTACATTCAGGGTGTTACGGAACCCATCAAGAGAATTTTGAATAGTCACAACGTTAAAGTTGCCTCAAAAAACCAGACTTTGGGGCATATTTTTGCCATTTATTCTATTCCTTGCAACGACTGTGACAACGAATACGTCGGACAGACCAAACGTCAGTTTGGTACACGTTTGAAATAGCATCAAAAAGCTGTTTTCTTTTCCAAAAAAGAAAATTTAGCTTTATTGGAGCGCACGTGTAACCATGCAATTGGGCGGGATAAGTCTAAAATTATCACCACTAATCGGCGTTACCACCAACGCCTTTGCTTGGAAGCTTGGCATGTTAACTCCGCCCACGCTCCCTTAAATCGTGATGATGACGGCTAACTTCCTGACGCCTATTTACACCTCGTCAGAATAAAGGCAGCTTTAGTGATCGTGATAAAAATTAGTGATCGTATAAAAAAAACCTCTTGTTGCAGCGTTTAGATCACCCCTGATGAAGGCACTAGACAGGAGTGTCGAAACGTTGGGTCTATGAATTGTAACTTCTTCGGTTCCTTCATTAAATCTGTAAACCAGAGTAGCATGAAACCATGGCAGGTGAATAATTCCCTCCCACAATTTGTTTTGTTTCTTTCGCATGCCGCTTTGTAATAGCCACTGATTAGTCCTATTGTGTAATCACTCTTTATGATCCTTCCAGAGATTTTAAGTGTTACTCGCGCGTTACTCGCGCATTGCGCGCGCTCTCCGTACGTAAACTTAAGAAAAAATATGAACATTGTATCTCGAATTCGGTTTCAAATTAACTAAAGCAAACTCTGGAGAGAGTTTTATTCACGAAGAAGACTTTTTATTCTATTAATGCAACAAAAAAATCACACCTATGTTGCGTGCCGCGTCCTTGAAGGGGAACAAACAGAAAAGTGATGCTGCCCGCGCTCCGGCTGCGTAAACTTTTTTAGCCTGGACAGTATTTATTTTATGATTGCTAGAATTCGGTTCTAAAAACTACTGAAACTACTGCGTTTCTTGCGATCGAAAGCAGTCTAAACGCATTTAAGTAAAATAAAGTGCTGAGACAGTTAAATTAAGTTCATTCCTTTGTTCAACAAAAGAAGCGTTTTGTTTAACAATAGTTAATATGAGTTATTTACCCCTAATTATTTATGGATTGGTTAGGATAACTGAATACTTTTGCTAAGATTGTTTCCGAAGAGAGACTTAGACGCGCAAGTACTGTACTGGAGAGAGGTGGTCTGAATGAGACACAACGTATTTTGAACTCTCGATGTGTGCATTGCCACATTTAATGTGAGAAGTTGAGCCGGAACAATTGACCATTTTTTGATACGTGAAATATTGGAATCGTGGGACTACCGGCGAAACCGGATTTCATTCAATTTTGTTTGCTCGTTTTAATCCGGGCGGGGATCCCAGCCGAGACCCGGCTGGCACCGTGGTAGAAATCACTGGCATCCCAAATCTTTGGCACCTGGAAGAAGCAGTACAAAGAATGTGATTATTACTACATTATTTAGAGAACAGTACCCCGAGGGAAAAAAAATCTATCATTTGGGGCAAAACAAGTATAACGATTGTGAAAATAATCGGTCAATAGCCTAACAGAAACAGTGATGACCGATTTTTTTTTCTTTTAGGGTGTTCGGCAGGAACTTGCGAAAATACCGGTGTACACTCCAGAGGGTAATGACATCAGGGAACTCGTCTTTTTGTCTTACAACTATCCATTTCATTCTTTCATAAATTTACCAGGACAGTTAAATCGAGCAACCGTGTTTAACGCGTGATTGAGTGTCATCACTGAGTGTTATCACCGTTTAATACAGATTAACAACAAAAGATAAGAAAACAACATTTTATACCATAATTTATCATTTATTTTAATGTGTAGCTTATTTTCAAAAATCGCTCAAAAATGTATCGAATAAAATCAACAAAATGATGATGCAGCGTAAAAACATAACAATAAATTAGAATTCTAACAGTTAGACCTCTTAGTAATTGATAATGGTAATTGACCTGAGTGGAGTGCAATTTGGGCTGAAATCACAAGTATGATTTCAGACCAAAATTGCACCACACGAGGTTCAATTACCACTTTATTACATCTATTTTGAAATTGCTCAAATAAAGGACTTGGTTAGTTCAAATATTTTATTGATGCAGTACTGAGCCGGTCTGAAAATTCATCCATCTTTTGGGGGGAAAAAGTAAGAGTTTTGGAAACAAAAGCTGCAAAATTTTTTCTGCAATTTGATCGGTCATTTTAAACAAGCCTTGAAATCTGCTTGGTTGTTTTGTTTTTAGTGTAGCCTCCTCATTGGCTGCGAAAAAGATGCGATTTAAAGCAAACAATGGTGCGAT